AATAAATATATTTGTATAAAAATAACAAAAAATTAACATAATATTATAAAATAAAAATAATAAAAAAAATAAAACTTATGGAAAATAATTTATCATAAAAAAATTTTTAATAATATATATTTAAATAAAATTAAATGAATAATTAAATATACTTTATACTTTAAATTATACAAAAATTGTTATATAATATAATATATGTATATTAATATTTTTTATTTAATACATATACCACGTGTACAAAAATGTATATATATATATAAGGTGTCCCGAATTTTGCGAATTAAAGTACCATAGAAAGAAAGTTTCTCGAAAAAGTAAATTAAAAAAATTTTTACCATTTTTCATTCCAAACAGTATTTTTCGAGGTAAAAAGATTTAAAATTGGCCAATTACAGAATACGATTAAACGGACGCCTATCCGTGAGTCGATTATGTTATATCCTAATAGCACAACATATCCGAAAGATATTCAGAGGACAGAGGACATTCGAACATCCTCAGGATGTTCTCTGAACGTTTTTAGGATATGTGTGCTGTTTGGGTAGTGACCATGCACTTTACGCACTTCAAGTGTCCATTAAATCGTAATCTATAATTGGCCAATTTAAAATTTTTTTACCTCAAAAATTTTATTGTTTAGAATAAGAAATAGCTTAAACTTTTTAATTTATTTTAAAGAACTTTTTTGCTATACTATTTTGACTCGCGAATTTCGGAATCCTGTATATATCAGTTTTTTTTTTGTAGGAAGGGAAAAATGCATTATGCATTTCCCATCGGCCGTCCGACGGGGGTATGTGGGACTCTCACCCACTAAAAAACCCTCCGCTCTAAAAAAAAAGCTGTAATTAAAAGTATTCATTATTATAAAACATATATTTTGTGAAAAAAGATATTGTTAAATAATTTGTATTTAATCATATTTATTATGTTAACGTGGAACGCATGTTTAAAAAAATTAATAATATATTGTAATTAAAGATTTAGGTACATATGTGTATATGTATTTTAGTTGGCATTTAGATATGCATGACGTAAAGATTGCAATCACAGTTGAAATAATTACATAAATCGCTCAAACTAACAGGTCTTATCACGGGAAATCTACATATAATATAGATTTTCTATAACTAAAAGAATCAGTTATATATTTTGATGTCTTTTGTTATCTATTTCTGTTAAGGCGTCTTATTATTGTAAGTGATTTGTCAAAATCACTTACTGTATACTATATTATTAACGGTATTCATATGTATCTTCTATGATTATATTAGAATACCGTATGCCAACAAATACATATACGATAGATTTCATTTATTGTACCGTGTTACTGTACTTTCTTAAAATTTTATTATTATATATATCTCGTGTTATATGTCATTAGTAATCAGAAAATACATGATTTTACAATTTCTTAGCATGATTGCATAAAAATATTTTATTTAGTCCGTGATTAAACCTGCTAGTTAACGATTTATGTAATTTGTTTCAACTGTGATTGCAATCTTCTAAGAAATTGAAAAATTCATGCTTATTTTTCTCATTACGTTTTCCGCCAAATGTAATATTAAGGCTGTAACTGTTACAAGCATAATATTATTTAAGCGTGTTGCAAAGTCAGCTATAGCTTCCCACGTACTCGTATTTAATTCTTTTGCATTACCAGCTGTTCTTATTGCAGCTGCAAATGTGTGACTAAATAATTGAAAAGCTCTTTTAACATTCATCGCTTCGAAATTATTTAGACAAATATGTGCTTCTGTTATATGGGATAATAAATTTGAGCCTCCTTTTGTGGCATTGTCAATATACCAAATCATCTCAAAATCTGAATACGATGCGATTATTTTTCCATCACAATAAATGTTTTTGTGCGTTCTAAGAAAACTTGCCAATCTTTTTACCAGATGAGAAAAATCAAAAGATGCGTTATATTTTTTTCCATTATGTATAAAACATGGCCTCTGTGCATCAATACCGAGTTCACTATACGCACTTTGATTACATGTGCCTTGATCACATGTTAAAAGTTGCACATCAGCACCCGTTGTACTCAATCTGTCTAAACATTCTTTTAATAATATTATTATTTCTTCTGCTTTCATGCATTTTCCCGGAAGGAAATATGCTAAAGGCTGTCGCCATGGGTGACGCGCATTTAAACTGTCTAGGCAAAAGACAAATACGCATTTAGATCTTTCTGATTTTCTTTCTAGAGGACCAAGATCGACAAGACCTTCTATTTCATCTAATTTTTGCGAATATTCTTCATAAGGTTTTATGGCCATTTCGTCCCATTTTAAGGCACACACTTTTTCCTCTACTGGTAAATAAGAAATCTTTTCCTTTAATTTTTGAAAAATAAAATCACAAAATCCTGGCCGTACGTCATATTCTTCCAGCCATCTTCTAATAGTTCGTTGCCCTGGAAAATTGCAACCTGCTTTTCTTAAGCGGCAGAAAGCAGCGGGTGAATAATAATATAATTGTCTTGACAGATTTTTCTCTTCTTCTGTATATACTGCATTGCGTTTATGCAGTTGCAAATTTATCATCGCCTTCGCAACAGGATTTAGATCTTGTTCGTCTACCAATTTGTTTAATATTATTTTCTTTTGTTTATCTTTTTTTGACGTTTTACGTTTTTGTGGAATATGACGTAAACGATATTTCAGATATCTTACTTGTCTTCGCAATCGTATATTTTCAGATTTTAGATATTTAATTTTTTGTATTTGTTTCTGTACTATTTTTAGTACTTCTTGTATTATTGCACGGAGGAAACAGAACTCTTTCATGTATTGATGGCTCAAGATGCGCCGATTCTATTATATTTGTATTGTTATTATTATTATTATTATTATTAGACGGAGGAGGCGTAAGAACTCTTTGATGCATAGATGGCTCAATGTACATCCATTCCATTATATCTTCATTTTCTATGGAAGAATTAAAATCTAAATGTCGTGGCTGATAGCATCGCAATGAATTTGTTCGTTGTTCAAAAGTTTGTGATTCTGGATGCTCGTCTATTACATTTTCATTAACAACAGTAGACGTAGATGATGTAGTAGATGTTGATACAATATTCTTTATACTTTGTTCTTCTTGTAAATAAAGCACTTGTTCCATTTGCATACTTTTTCTTTTCTTATTTTCATTATTTTTATTAATATTATGAGAATCTAAAGAAATCAATACATTGTGTTCATTACTTACGTTATTTAGAGACTCGAAAGGAATCGGTACTGCACTGCGTTTTAATCCTCTTGTCGTTTTATTTGTGAAGGAGTCTTCAAGAAAATGATCTTCACACAATCCCGCACGTCGAATAGAACTGGCAGACCATTTTTATAATTTCGTATTTCCTGTAATAAAAACAAAAGAAAAGAAAATTTAAAAACTAATTTATTTACTCGATATGTTACACATGTAATTGTATTAAAAATTTGTAGAATTAAAATTTAATTTTTTACAATAAAAAAAAAATAATTAATATTTTAATATCAAATTATTTTATATGTATATGTAATTTTATATGCACATGTATTATTTTATATGTATATGTAAAAAATATTATTTACTACGCGAAATTTATTCGGCATATATGTATATGAGTATAGATATGTGTTTAAAATCATGTGAAGAGATCATCTGTATTAACATTGAATATATTTACTTATCGGCGAGAGCAAATTCTTTTATCCGAACGCTCCCGTTGGAATCAGCTGTTGTCCACGCATGTTTTGACAACAAGCAGCTGATCTCAACGTGATCATCGGAATTTCGGAAGGTTCAAGTCAGGGCGAGGGGTTTGCGAGCGCGGGGCTCGCGCAAGGGACAGCGGTCTTCGCGAGTCAGTATCTCTCTGCGTGTCTTGCGTGCGAGTGATCTCCGTCGCTTAGCAATCTGATTTATTATTGCTACGTGTTCGTCAAAATTCAAGTGTAACTTTATTTGATTAATAATAAAACCTTTTTTTGATTTCTATAATCGTCTCACTATTGTGACACCCTCGACGACACTCACATTCGGAAGGTGAAATATTCTCCGCGAGTTCGTGTACAATATGCATATATCTTCTTATATGTTCGAAAAAAATCGAAATGCTATTTTTTATCCATTCTAATACCATCCTATTTATCAATGTCTTTTTACTATTTTTTATGTATTTTATGTTTTGTGTAAAAAAAATTATTTTAAGCAAAAGAAAATAAAGGGAAAATATTATGACTAACGGATGGTTGAAAATAATTATTACTATTTATAATACTTACCATTTTTTGCTTATTTTCATTATTATATCTTATCCTTATTATATTTTTACTAATATTCCTAAGTAACAAACAAATATAGCAAACAAAATGTTTAAAACTCATTTTCAGATATTTTAAAAATGTGAAAAAATTGATTAAGTCCCTTCTTTTAAAATTTAAAAAAAAACATTTATTTTAACATTACTGTAATATAAATATTTATTTAAGGTTTATTAAATATTTAATATTTTATTAATAAAATATTAACAAAAAATATTAACAAAATAAATATTTAATAAACGTTAAATAAATATTTATATTACATTGACGTTAAAATAAACGTTCTTTTAATGAATAAATGGGGAACCAAATATTTTCACATTTTTTAAATATCTTTGAAAATAAGTTTTAAATGAGTTTTAAACATTTTTTATACTTTATTTGTTTAGTAATATGGCTTAAAATAATATTTAATGGATATTGCGATTAATAACTTCTAACGTTTATAGGATGAACTGTGGGAAAAATTAACGAAAATATTAAATACAGCTGGATGTGGGCCGTGTAAATCAGCTAAAGAATGGACCAAGGTAAATTTTATTACATTTTATTAGTGTTTTATATAAAGTTACATATATGTGATAAAGTAGCGAGTTATATGTATAGTATATATATATATAGTTTTATGTTTTAGGAGCAGTATAATAATTATTAATATTAATCCCTGTTCTCTCTCTCTTTGATATCCTCGTCCTCTTCCTCTTCCCCTTCTTCTTCCTCTGCTTCCTCGTATCCCGCGTCCTTTTCCTCCTCGTCCTCCTCTCATGGCAGATTGTACAGCTGCATCAATAAGACCTTTTAAATCTTCTCTCTGAAACAAAAAAGTAAATATAATATAGTAAATAATAATAAAAAACGTAATAAATTGTAATAATTGTAATAATTATTTTAAAAAGATTAATTTTTTTACATTATATATATATATAACAAAAATAAATATAACAATTATATTAATTAATAATAAATTATATTAAAACCGGAAAGATAATAAAATGACTTAATAAAAAATGTTTTAAAAGGATTATTTTGCATTTTTTCTAATAATATTGTATGTAAAATACAATTCTGTATATATGATTAATTTGATATTTAATATAAATTGTATTTATATAAAATGTGTAACTTACACTTAATGCTATTAGCATTGACGCCTCCGTTGACGCTGGTACCGGTGCCTTCTCTGGTGCCGGTATTTCCATTGATGTCGACGCCGGTGCCTCCATTAATGCCGATGCCGATGCCGGTGCCGATGTCAGTGCTGGTGCTGATACTGGTGCCAGTGCTAGCGCCGGTGTCAATGCCGATGCTGGTGCCAATGCCGGTGTCGATGTCGATGCCTCCGCCGACATCATAGTTGATGACATCGTTGATGCCGATGTCACCGATGCCACTGTTGACACAGTTTCTGCCGACATCGTTGATATCGGCATCAACGATGTCATCATCGGTGTTACTTGTTTTGTCAACGGAGAGAATTCCAATATTCTCTCTCCAGTTTCCTGAAAAAAATTGTAAAAAATATACTGTATATAAATACTTAAAACAGGGATGCCGGTTGTCGGAAAATGAAAAAAAGATAAATTGAAAGTGAAGGAGATATGTTTCGATATCGAGACACTACTCGCTGAAAAAAGATTCCAAATATAGAAATTTCATCGAAGCTTGCTCGCTCGTTCGAAAGAGTTCTGATTTTAACGTTATTATCTTAACGGTATCTTAAATAAGGCCTTTGACGAGCAATTATTATATAAAATTAAATATATTTATTAAAACATTAGTATTAGTAGAGTTTTACAAAAATTAGTGTTACAAAATGTTATTATCTTGTATCTCGATAAAAGATCACGAGTAATTCCTTGAGCAAGCAAATCTGAAGGCTATTAACCGAAAAGAATGAAACGTAATAGATTTCGTAAAATATTGTTTTATCTCATTCGCTCTTATTTTCATCTCATTGTCGCTTTCTTTTATAAATATTACTCAAAATTATAATATTAATTCTATAATTACTATTCTAACATTAGATTATACCACACGACGTGAAACTTTTATATCATAAAAGTTAAAAAATATTTTTAGATGTGTTGCGTACTTACCATCGCAATATGACCCAACAGACAAATTTTGTCAGACCGACCAGGCTCACTGACTGAGGACTGACACGGACCACGGACGGCACGGACTCACGTCAACTGAACAACTGAAGCACATGTACTTACGCATGCTAGCATGTCTGCACTGTTGCCGATAATTTTGTCAGTCATGCACGCGCAATACTGATTAAATTCAAGCGCGATAGATCGCGAGCAATAAAAAGACAGCCTTAACACAATATTGTTTCACTTTTTTGTTCTTAATTTTATTTAAAAATCTTTTGATAGAAATATTAAAAAATAAAAAAATTAATTTGATAAAATAATATTATAAAATAATAATTGTAAAAATAATAACATTGATTGTATAAAATAATATTAATAAATTAAATTAATACTTTTCATAAACATCATAAACAAGAGCATAAAAATTCAATTTATATATTTGAAATTAATTCGAAAATTTGGTCCAAAACTTATCTCAAATTTTGTAGGCAAATTACAAAAAGAATATTCTGTAACATATGTATAATTAATGCAGATACCGTGTTAATAGATTTAGTAATCGATTCTGTATAATGTTTATGTTTGATGTTAAATAACTATATTATGTACAATAATATTTGTTTTATATTAAACATCAAAAATAAAAGTCGTATACGCACACGCAATTAGTGTGAATAAATTGCAGAAATTCGTGAATAAATACAAAATATCATCTCAAAAACAAAATGAATCTTACTCAAACATATTTAATATAAATTATATAAAATAATACATTATTTATTTATCAATTAATACAAAATATATTGTAGAATATTTCATATAAAACCTTTAAATAATTAGATATCACGAGTTGCAGATAATAGTACAATAAATAAATGCACATAATTATATCACAAAATAATTAAATGTTTAATTATTGAGATCTATTTTAATTAAGGTTACTTTCATTTATTTTAGTTTATTTTTATTTATTAACGTTGTGTTAGTCTAAATTTAGTAAAAAGGCAGTGCAAAAGAGTTTTAAAGTAGGCAATATAAAGAGCAGTATCAATTATTTATTTATTCAGTTTAAAGGAAAGAAAAGGAATTTATCACGAAATAATAAAAAAAAATTAAATATTTATTCTAGAGTTAAATATTAAAATATATAAAAAAAGAATATAACATTTTTTGTAGAATATAAAAATAAACTTTATGTTCTATAATTTTCTGATACTTATGATTGTATAATATTATTAACACAAACTGAATATAAGTTAAACAAAATTGAATAGAAATAAAAAATGCAAGTACAAAATATAGCAGAATATGTAATTAAAGATGATATAAAAATTTACCGCTGTTGCTTATCCATAAATGATATCTGTTATCAGTCTGCAATGGGAATCTATATATACGTTTTTCTAGAGATCTTGAACTCGTACAGTTTTTATACATGCACTTATCGTAAAAAGTATCTAAATGGCACTGATTAGACATTTTTCTTTATTTTTTATAACTATTGTTATTTTTTATAATATTATTGAAACGTGAACAATTTTGCACTTATCAGAACAACGCACTTCGCACACAAACACAAAAAATCCTTTACAGATAATTTTGCGTGTAAAATCCTTTACGGACAATCGCGAAGCACGACTAATGCAAAACAGCGCGTATACTTCTCTCACGAGGTTATCAAGATAGCGAGTGATACGTCGACTCGCAATTGCTCGCAATATGATCTCTTCCCTCCTCTACCCTACCACACATTCAAATGTTCTTTCCGAAAATTCTTACAGATTCTTACGGATATCTCAATATCGAAGTGTGTGTATGCGTATGCGCATGTGTATATCTGTACACGAGCATTTATTTTGCCATGCAATTTTCTTAATTTACTTTTTCGAGAAACTTTCTTTCTATGGTACTTTAATTCGCAAAATTCGGGACACCTTATATATATATATATATACATTTTTGTACACGTGGTATATGTATTAAATAAAAAATATTAATATACATATATTATATTATATAACAATTTTTGTATAATTTAAAGTATAAAGTATATTTAATTATTCATTTAATTTTATTTAAATATATATTATTAGAAATTTTTTTTGTGATAAATTATTTTTCATAAGTTTTATTTTTTTTATTATTTTTATTTTATAATATTATGTTAATTTTTTGTTATTTTTATACAAATATATTTATTTTATTTTCAATATTTATTTTCTTATTTTTTATATTTTTTGTGCAATTAATTTAATTTTCAGGGATATTATTTTTGTAAATAAATATAAAATTATTGAAAATATTTTATAAATACAATTAATTTATTATTTCTTATTTTTTATTTATTTATAATTCTGATTTATAAAAAAAAAAAAAAAAAAGAAAACATATGGTCTTGAACTCTGATCTTCGTCGTATTCTGGTCTATCAATTGTGGATGTAGCACGGACATGAACCAAATTTGGCTCTTTTACCGACATCGAAAGTGGATGTGGCCATGTAGTTCCAGGTGCTCGTAAAATGGATGTACGTGACGCTAGTGAGCAGCCTAGAAAAAGCGTTTGACAAAAAACGGCGGCGTGGCCTCTCTCATTCTTCTCTCTGCTAACGATAAATGGTAAAAACGTCTAATTCTAAGTTAAATCATTCTCAAAATGATTAATTATGTGACGTCCCGCCATTGGTCGAAACCCTAATTTTTTCACTTTAACATCATTTCTTGCAAGAACTTGTATAATTAACTATTTTGAGAATGATTTAACTTGGAATTAAACGTCTTTACCATTTATCGTTAGTAATACCAGCATAGGGAATCTTCTAGTTGTAACTAGTCTAGGGACTAGCAACGCGACCAATCCAACACAACAAGCGTATACTTATAAATTACTAGTCGTCGCTATCTCTTAAGCCTTGTGTCCACGATGCTAGAAATCGGTCCGAGTTCTCGATCCGAGAAAAAGTTACTAACACTCGAATCGTGTACACTACCGACTCGAATGAATATCTCGAATAGAAATGTCGAACAGAAAAATGTATCCTGTCCCATTTTTTTATACTAGTTACTAGATTTATTTCTTGTTGCCAACATTATTACTTTATAAATAGCTAGTCAATCGCGTTGGACATGAAAATATTCATGACCTACAAGACCTTTTAATAAAATAGCAAAGAAAATTATAGAAAAAGAATAAGATAACCTTTAATAAATAAAGCAAAGAAGATTTGGTTCACATATAACCCAGAGGCAAAGTAAGCAAAAATTAATTAAACTGTAAAGAAAATTAGTAATTAGCAATTAATAATTTTTAATTATAATATTTACGTATATATTAATTACTCATTATGTAAATTATAATAATTAAAGTATAATAAACTTAAAAAGGATATAGTGTATAGAGGTAAAATTTTATTTTAAATTTAATAATATTTACTTATAGTTCAGTTTATTTAAATCTATATGAATTTTCAGGAAAGAGTATGGATAAAGACAATATTAGAACTTTATTATTGTTGTATCAACAACATCCATGTTTATATGTCGTAAAATCTATTGATTATCATAATCGTATAAAACGAGAAAAAGTATTACAAACAATATGTGATCAATATACAGAGATAACAGAACAGCCATTGACGATAGAAATTGCAAAAAAGAAAATCAATAACTTAAGATCGCAATATTTAGACTATCTGAATAAAATTAAACAGTCAAAAGCAAGTGGAGCATCAACCGATGAAATTTATAAACCCACCTGGTGGTTGTATGAGGATATGAAATTTCTTGATCCTTATATTTCACAGAGAAAGGGAGAATCTTCTATAAAAGAAAGAGTGAGTAGAAATAAAATATTTGAAAGTTATTAAGATATGATTAAATAAATAGTAATTATAGTAAATAAAAATAATGATAATTTATAGTTTTCCAAGGAGCAGTCTGTAACAATGGCATTAAATGAAAATGAAAATAACAATGAACATCTACAATTTTTGGACGTTTATAATATTTTAGAAAATAAAGACCATAATAAAGGTAAGAATAATAGAGATTTTTATTATATTTAATATTAAATATAATTAAATGTGTGTGTGTGTGTGTGTGTGTGTGCGTGTGCGTGTGCGTGTGCGTGTGCGTGTGCGTGTGCGTGTGCGTGTGCGTGTGCGTGTGCGTGTGCGTGTGCGTGTGCGTGTGCGTGTGCGTGTGTGTGTGTGTGTGTGTGTGTGTGCGTGTGTGTGTGTGTGCGTGTGTATATAACATGTATAATGTGTGTATATACACATTTGTAAGAAAACTAAACTTAGATTTATTTATAATTATTATTTTTATCTGTTTTATATAGAAAATATCCATCAAAATGAGTTCTCTCAAAGTAAGTCGTCATCTTCAATAAGCACTCCAAGAAGTTCTATATGCATCACACCGGTACCTAAAAGGAAAAGAACTGAAACAATAAAATCTGAAACTTCTTCTATTGAACAAAATAAATTTTGGACAATAGCTTCGAATGCAATTGAATCGATAGCTAAAAATGAAAAAATGGAAGATAGCTTAAGGCATTGGATTCTATACTTAGAAAATGAATTACGTAAAATAAAAATTTCAAAAAATTAAAAGAGTTGCAAAGAAACATTATTACACTAGTTGACAATGCAGATAGTGATTAAACACATTGTTTTTGTTTTAAGTTTTTCTGTGATCTCATAGGTTATGCAGATAGTGATTAAATACATTGTTTTTATGTTTTAAGTTTTTCTGTGATCTCAGGTTATGCAGATAGTAATTAAACACATTGTTTTTATGTTTTCAGTTTTTCTGTGATGTCAGGTTATGCAGATAGTGATTAAACACATTGTTTTTATGTTTTAAGTTTTTCTGTGATCTCAGGTTATGCAGATAGTGATTAAACACATTGTTTTTATGTTTTAAGTTTTTCTGTGATCTCAGGTTATGCAGATAGTGATTAAACACATTGTTTTTGTTTTCAGTTTTTCTGTGATTTCAGGTTAAAAGTTTTCAAATTGCATTACTGTGCTTTGTAAAATTTGATTTTCTTTATGTTTAGTCAAAGTAGACATATGTGCGTGCGTACTCATATAATATTTATATTTGTTTTTTTTTCGTTATATAGCAAAGTAATGTATAAGAACATATATAATATATATAAATAACATTTCTTTCTAAGTAGTATAGATTGTTCATTTTGTTTTATTATATATACTATATATTATATTATTCAAGCAATTTTGTTTCTCTTTCCTAATGTCTTGCTAATTTTGCAATATGTAAGAACATATATATAAGTAACATATATTTTTAATTTAAGTAAAATAGATTGTTTATTAAAACCAGCTAATTAAATTAACGACTGCTAATGAAAAACAATTTACATATTAATGAGCGAAAAAGATTCAGCGTATACTGACGTTTTATATTACTAATAATTGTTTTATGTTTATTAATAATAAATATATTTTATTATTCAAAATTTAACACTTGTTACATTTATAAAATGTATTGTCATATTTTTCCTTATTAATAATAAAAACTATGTACGATATAACAATATTTATTTATTGTGTCTTAGTACAAAATATGATGTATTTATTATTAGGTCCTTGAATAAGTTCTCGCTGTTTCTTAAAAGATGGCGTAGCGGCACTCTGTGCATGGAATTTCGTACGGAAACGCATCAGCTAAGTAGTACTATATGTAACCTCAAATTCTAGTAGATACAGTTTACCACAGTGTCAACCACGTGTTTAATTACCTATTGCGAAAATGTCTACTTTTGTGCCAAATAAAGTGTTTTTGCGGGGAATTTTATTGCACTGCTTTATTCAAAAGAAATCTGCAGCTGAAGCACACAGAATTCTTGTTGAAACATATGGTAACAATGCTCTGTCGAATACAACATGCAGAGACTGGTTTAGGCGCTTTAAAAATAATGACTTAGACCTTGAAGATAAAGAACGTTCTGGAGCACCGACAAAGTTTGAAGACGAAGAATTGGAGGCATTGCTGTGTGGTCTCTAATGATGGACAATACTTTGAGTAAAGTTATTGTAAGCCTTATATTTTAAATAAATGTTTTTTTTAACAAAAAAAACAGCGAGAACTTATTCAAGGACCTATATATTTAATATTAACATATTTTAGTATAATAGACGTAAAATTTCTCTCCCTCTCTCTTTATCAAATATCATTATTTTATATATTATTAATAACTTAAATTATAATGCACACTAAATTATAAAATAATAATTATCAGATTTAATTTAATTTTTACATTAAACAGTTGAATCACAGTCATATACATACATATCATATAATATAATATATACTATTTTATATCATGTATACAGTCATATAATTATGTATATATATGTATTCCCAAATACCGAATGTAACATAGATATATACTAAAAAATTAAATCATGGCTTCAACTCTTCCAACAGTATTAAAGTATTCTTTAAAAACATCACGAATATAAATTGCGTTTCTGTTAGGTCTCACGTTTGCAATTTCTAAATTACGTAACTGTGCATTATTATTTCTTCATGTTGCAGGTATAACTATTTGATTCTCCAAATCTTCAATATCTACAGCTCCTTGTAAATAAGCATCATTTTCTTTACTAATAAAATTATGTAAAGCGCAGCAAGCAAGTGTAATATTTTGAACTGATTCAACAGATAAATATATTTTTGTTAAAAGAACGCGAAATCTATTCGCTAAAATGCCAAAAGCATTTTCGACTACTCTTCTACCTCTACTTAGTCTATAATTGAAAATTCGCTCATCATGAGACAAATTTTGTGATGGATAAGGTTTCAGAATGTGATTTTGCAATGGAAAAGCCGCGTCAGCTAAAATAACAAAAGGAATAGAATGATTCATATTAGGCAAAGGTTTATCTTTTGGCACATTTAATGGATTTCGTGGATCATTTATGTATTTCGCTAAATCACTATCACGAAATACTCCTCCATCACTTACTCTACCATTGACACCTACATTGACGTAAATAAACTGATAATGAGCATTCACTAATGCTAATAAAACAATACTATCTGTATCCTTATAATTATGATACAATGATCCTTGGCTCAGAGGAACTTTAAACTCAATATGCCTGCCATCCATTGCACCGATGCAATTTGGTACATTCCATTGTCTCAAATAGTTGTCAGCAACATGATTCCATTCTTCTTCAGTATCTGGAATCTAAAATATTGTATATGTTTTACTTTAAATATTTATTTATATTCGATATTAGAAAATATAAAAATTACAATTTTAATACTCACTTTTAAATATTCATCTTTTAGTACTTCATAAATTACTCTAACTGTTTCAGGAATGATACGTGATAATGTACAAGCAGGTACTCTTGTTGTGAATTCCATACTGCGATATGATTCTCCCGTTGCTAGATATCGCAGAGTCAGGGATAGTCTTTGAATTGGTGGAATACTCTTTCGCATAACTGTATCTTGTCTTTGAATAAATGGAGATACTTTATCTAACAAATTATTAAATAATTGATAATCCATTCTAAAGAATCTACGAAAAGATTCTACATCTTCATGAAGAAGTTCATTAAGGGCTAAGTGCACAGACCCTCTTAATTGGAATTCTCTTCGTAAAATCCATGCCCTTGTCCACCATCTCCGTTGTCTTTTTTCTTGTATTTCTGGCCGTTTTTCTTGCTGTTCTATAACCGCAACAAAGGCAGTAAAAATCAGCAATTTTTTGAGTTGTTTCTTTTTTGCTGAATTATTCATTTTTATATTAGATGTGTTCTCTTTCAGCTTCTTAATAACTGCTTTATTAAATGAATCAAAACTTTGTAGTATCAAATTATGTATGTAGGAACAAATCTATTATATTACAAAATATTGTTTTTATTATAATTTATAATAATTAGAAATTCACAATATTTTATTGTTTTTCTTTCCAATATTTTAATGTTGGTATAAATTATAGTAACTAATCTCACATACTCGACTATAATGCTATCTGGAGTCATCAAAGTAGAACTAATTCTATTCGAGAGTTTAAATCGAGAACTCGGACCGATTTCTAGCATCGTGGACACAAGGCTTTACAACCCTAACGGTATGAACGATAAATGCGAAATATAATCAATGTGTGCAAATCTATTAATCAATGTGTGAATCCTGTAATCAATATGTTTGAAATTGTATAACCTTATTTATGGAATAGTTAAAATGATGAATCGTCTGAATAGATATCTTAACCACACAATGATGAATGAATCATAAAATTAATAAATTTTTATGACCGACTATTTGCCATAAAATATTCCATAAAATCTTTTCTTTAATTTATAAGATAACGATGCGCCTCAATTGTAATTATATTTATGGAACCTTATTATCTTTATCACTATTATCAATAATTGAAACTACTCGGATTCTTGCAACTTATTGTTAGTATCAGAGATGTTATTCTCCTTTTTTCAATATATTTACATAAATAAGGATTCTATGAATATAACAACATTTCACCGTAACTATATAAAAATATACCACGTTTTGAAATCATAACTATATAATTTAGCAATCATAACTATATTTCATTATATTAAAATTGCAACAACTAGAATATAGCAGAGAATTATTATATATAGAGAACGATTTCAGAAACGTATAGAAGCTAGCAAGCGAACAATAGAACCCCAACGTGCGGCTACCGCTTGAACTTTCTTTGTCGCCCGGACCGCCCCCGATCTTGATACGATAAGCAACCCCGCGTCTTTCGGAATGCTAACACATGCACGTCACGAACCTCGAGAATCAACAAATCATAGACTTTTACGACTTATTCTCTCTTAGATTTTCTCGTCGTCTATCACTTTATATGGTCATGATAGACTCTCTTGACCATATTTGATCAACAGAAGAGCTCACTTGTTGCCTTCTCAAGACCCCCAAACCACTCCTTCTTTTATAAGAAAATTTATTATGATATCTTCCTGGAAAAGCGTTTTCGTGGGAATACTCCCACTCAAAAATTTACACGCGACACCAAGATTTTCCGTTTTCGAGGGGTATATAAACCCTAGAAAATCTGGCCAAAAGACGGCATTTCATCATAACAGTAGAATCACGTGACGGCATTTCATCATAACAGTAGAATCACGCGACGGCATTTCATCATAGAAAATTACAGTGTACATTTTAAATTGTCGCTAGCCGAGGAGTGCAGCAACAATTTTGTACCATTCTAAAATCATCATAACAATCTATAACTCAAATCTCGGAACATATAATTTTGTCAACGACGCCTAATCGTTGTAACCCCGCGTAGATTTTGTGACGTGACAAATTGAGATTGTCCGTCACAAGGGCCGAATGGCCCGATCGGGGGAGGGCACGGGACCTCTGCTCTCCCGAGTTAGTGGGAGAGAGAGAGAGAGAGAGAGAGCGTGCGTGCGAGAAGCGCGGGATCGGACGCGATCCCGCTGCTAGGCGTTTTGTTATTCTTTTTTTGGAGATTTAGGATTATTTCCGCGGCAAGCAGGATGTGCGACAAGTCTCAGCCGAGAGAGAGGCTCCGGAGGAAAAATAGGGAAGCTTAGGAAGCAGGACGACGGGGACCACCTTCGTCAGGGGCACGCCCGGTAAGCCCAAAAATTCAAAATACATTCACTGAACATCCGACAACGGAATAGGTGCCACTGCCTAAAAATTTGTACTTTCCAGGAGCGAGCAGGGGATGGCCATTTGGGTGCAACAAGCACCCAAGTCCCCGCATACGGAGCGCCGGCAGGAGAGCTGCCGTCCCCGGGACATCCGGAATCCCGAACGAGAGCCAGGAGCGATCCTGCCGTGCGCTGCCGCGACGACCGCCTACGGAGGGCAACTCGCGGATCAAGAATCCGCGGATAAGGATAATTAAGCGCGCAGCCGCAAGGATCACCGAGGCCGCGCGCGCGGCCCGACCTGATAGCGCCACGAGTGGCCTATCTAGGTAATTGGGTCACCGGCGTGTCTCCTGAGGGCCCCCGGTTCGGCACTGTCTGGCGAGCGCCCGTAGAGAGCAGAGGTCCTGAAAGCGAGAGCAAAACTCAGAGAGAGCGAGAGAGGAGAGTACGCAGGGATTGCTGAGAGGACTGGTGAGACGACGTGGTCATCCTGCCGCCGCCGAATTAAGGTAGCAGAGTGAATGGGTCCCCGATTAATTATCGTAGAGAATTCTGCCGGATTTAGTTGCCGGTCAGGACTAAAAGAATTCGAGAAAGTAGTCTTTGTTGTCGAGTCACGTAATTAAAGAAAAAAAGATCCTATTAGGAGAAAACTACGACCCATCCACTCTCTCGCGTTTCCGCATATTCTCTCTCCCGCGTTGACAGTTTTCGCGCGTAACATTGTCGCGCGAGAATTTTTATGATTATGCGTTGCCGAAAATTGTTCGAAGCAAATTATCGGGGAGCTCATAAACGCGCTCGGACTCGTTAGTATATTGTTGTTATTCTTAAGAGCAAAGGCATTGTGACTTCTAATTCTTTGTATGGAATTTGTGTACGGCGCACGCGGCGCGCCCTTACGCCGGCCCCTTTGTGGTCGCGCATACCGCGCGGATCACGCGTTCGCGGTGTGACGTAATATACCCGGTAGCGCATCGCCGATTTAATTATTTTCTTTATTGCTCGAGATACTACCTCGTTGCCGCGAATTAGCTAAATATTATTCATCACTCGGCACGGCGAACCACCGGTCGTATTACCTCCCCGAAAATTTTACCCGTGCGCCCGATCACGCCACTATTCTTTATATTGTATCTATCTTTTGTGTCTTACTTCCTCGCTCTGAGGAGATTCAAATATATGTTATATTAAAACTTTAATACCTCTGGTGATTTCTCGTTGCTACGCACCCGAACCCTTACCCGTACGAGAGCTAGCCGAGCGGGAAAGTTACCGTCGCGATCTCTCTCTCCCGTGAAAGACATTCGCTAGAGCACTTGACGCTACGTCCGAGAAAGTAAAAATTTAGCGTTCCGTAATTGATTTTATTCAGAGACGGTGTGGCTGCCGCACCTGGCGCCCAACTTATTAGAGAAATAATTTTTTTTGAGCTCGGACGGAGAGATCGTGCCGAAGGAAAGCCGACATTCCGTCGGAGGAAATCGCTCCTTACATACGATTAGAAAGTTGCTGCGAATTACGCGCGGTCGGTTACAATTTGTAACTTAGTACATTGTTCAAGTCGGACGGGTTAGCCGTCGAACTCGCTGACTTCTTAATTCTTAATCGCGCACAATTTGTAGCCGGGTTAAAGACGAATAAAGAACTTCATAGCATTGTACAACCTTTTTTTTTTTTTGTAACTCTGGGAAAACCTTATGGTACCATCCGCCTCCGGGTAGAGGCGGGGGTTATGTGGGACTCCCTGCCCCGCCTGGCCGGCCCGCACATCCGCCTGGCCGGTCCGCCGTAGCGGGCCGGAGAGTCGGGATCGGCGAGCTGGAGAGCCGGGACAGGACTTGCCGCACTAAAACCCCAGAGGATGTCCTTCGCGGGCGTTATACAGGAGACGGCCAGGATGCTGGAATCCCATGCCGTCTAGCCGCCCCCTCGCCTTATCCCTCCTTGGGAGGATGCCGCAGAAGGCGACACCCTCCCCCCGTCATTGTACGGGTTCTTCGCGGTTGCGGTGCAGAGCGACATCGACCCCGCGCCGCGCCCTCTCAAAGAGTTTGAGGGGCGGAGCCATGGCTCGAGAACTCCCGCTCGAGCCATCGCCCCTCGCTCCCCCAGTGTCGCAACCCCGGATCCCCAAGGGTGGTCCGGTTCGACGGTCACTGAGGGAGCCCTCATCAGGTGGTCTCTCTCAGAAGGAGAGAAACCCCCTTCCGTGGACGGTGTTTCCCTCCCACCGGTGCCTTATGGCTCCCGATGAGAGGGCCCTACACGTCACGTCTCCGTCCTTGAGAAGGGCCCAGGCGCCCCAGACGGGAGGGCAATGCCCGCCCGCCAGGGACACGTGGCCCCCCCTCATTCCAGACCCCCCCCGGCCGCGACTTCCCTCCACCCCGTTAGAGGTCAGAGTTCGCCCGCGACCGGTGGGGCCCCTACCACCCGGAGGGTGTGGGGGGGGGGGGAAACGCCTAGGCGCTCCCATGTCCCTTCCAACACCCTCATCCGGCATCGATTAACGATGCCGGTATGTGGCGAGCCCCCGCCCCCCACTGCCGCCGACTGCCCCGCCCTTGGGCACGACCGCCGGCGACGCGGGGGACCGGGAAGGCCCGCCCCCTCCCTTCGACCCCGTCGGGGGTGTCGTCAGACACCCCGGACCCCCGAGTCGCCGTCTCGTCCGTCCCCGTCCCCGTCTCCGTCTCTGTGTCGGTTTCCGTGCCTACCTCCATCCGGCACTCCTCCTCGGGAACCTTCCGGGCCGTCCGGGCCTCCTTCTTTTCCCGACCGGCCTCCATCCTAGCGAGGCGCCTCTCAATC